CGCGCCCGGGAGGGGCCGCTGCCCCGAAGAGCCCCTCTCTTTTGCGCGGAAACGCCATGAGCTCATTCGCTCCCTATGACGGGGAGACCTGCCTCCAGCTTTCGCCAGTCGTGGAAGGGAGCCTTGTGTGCGTGCTTGCCGGGAAGTAAAACCAGCAAGGGGAAAGGTAGCGAGTGACTTAAATCGCCTTCTGCGCAGTATTTTAAGCCGGTTTTGTAGGAGCTGCGAGGTCGCGTCCCTCGGGAGATCGCGACGGCGTGTGTATTTCACCCTTCCCCAGAACGGTGTTGGGAATAGGTTCATCAACAGGCCTGTGCGTTCTGATGTCATCAAGGACAGAGGTTTTCTTGACCTGGAACTAGGAAATCTTAAAATACGATTTTCCCTTTTCACTCTTGGTTGGTTAAACTTTTTCAAATTTGTACAGCCTTTTGAATAATTTGTGTTGTAGGAACTAACACTTTGGAAAATGACACCTAGTGTACCTTACGTTTGTCAGTGTTGCTTAGAGACTTACTCCCAGTGTGTGCAAACAAAGATAACAAATACAAAAGATAGCAAATATTGCCTGTAGGGCTTTTAACCTGTAGTAGTGTTTTTGTAATTAAAAAAAAATCTTGAAACTTTATTTCCAGTTCTGTAGTTGCTTTTACTTGGTTTGTATTTGTATGATTTTGACAGTTCGGTGGGTTAAATTTATTACACTGTTAACACTGTTACTTGTGATTAACTTGTAGTTTTTAAGATAGCTATGAAAAATGAACTTCTCTGACTTTTCCATCATGATGTATTTATTCATCTTTGTGTTAACAAGAGTGCTGAAAATGCAGGCTTTGGGCAGGTTTAGGCTTGGTAAATTACAGTTTATAGCTTTATCCAGTTTCTTCCTTGCATGCTAATCTCAGTGGTCTGGTTCACAGATTCCTGCTCATTTTCCTTCCCTGCTCATTTGGATGGTCTTTGGTTGCAGAAGGTGTGTGTGAAGGCTGGTCACATACAGAAACGGTGATATAATAGGGGCTATACGGTTCTTTGCTCTAGTACTTCCATAGCTTAGAAAGCTTAACTGGGAAGTACATCTGTGCGTAAGGTCTTTTTGCAGAGTTTGTAGGTTGTTTAATTTAACTGTTGAATGGGCTCCGAGAGGTGTAATTAAAGAAACCAGAGCTCACTGAGCTCGTCAGACTGCCTAGGGAACTGGTCTAACACAGTGGCTTTCACAAGCCTTATCTGTGGGTTACTGGGGATCCCTGGATCAGGACATATAGGTTCAGGTAAGATGAAGCACACACAAACTTTCCTGAAATGTGTGTGTTTACAATATTGGAAGGGAAACACTTTTAGAATTTTACATATGAACATGCATGTGATTTCTAAGCTCTTTCCAAGCGAATACCGTGATCAGAATCTGTTCTGTGTACAGTTATTCTCTGTGTACATTTGTTCTAGAGCGTAGAACTGCAGTGTGCCATCATGAGCCTCCCACCTATGGATGTTGGGGAAAAATAGGAGCAGTGCTCAGTTGTCACAAAGGCCTTATCACATTTGAATCCCCTCACAATAAGCTGCTGTGGCATCACTTCCCCAGAACATGTATTTGATTTGTCACAGATATCTTAAACTTTTCATTCAAGCTGGAATGCCTTACAGTAGGAAAATAAGGCCAAAAGATAAAATCGTTTGTGTCGTATCTCTACAGTATCAGTTAAGGCCCAGCATTGAAAACCACTGTATGTTTGGGTTTTTTTTTTCTGAAGATGGGAACTGGATTATTTCTAGTCCAACAAGGCTGAGATGAAGGAAGAGACTTTGGAGGGGCAAGATGATGCTGTTACTGGGCATGCGAGACTTACAAAATCAATGAATGAATACCAAGTCCTAGACACTCATGTTTTTCTAGCTCTGGACTGGAGAGAAGGGCTTCTGTAGAAGAATTTGGAGTTGCTTACTTATGATTACTTTTTGAATGTCAAGGGTTAAGTTATTTTGTATGTTGGAATCCCTCTTTGTTCCTTCACTTCTTGCCCTGAACAGTGCATGTCTTGCAAAAGCATGCACACTATGCTGCTTTGAGGTATCTAGTCCAAGTATGAGTAAGTTTGTGGGTGAAATGATGCTAAATATGGGAAGCTTGCCTATTGCCTAATATTCCTATGTCAGATGGCAAGGAGATTAAAGATGAGGTTTGAGAGCTTTATACATATGTGATGGATACAGAGCTGGTGTACTTGCAGAGAAATACTTAAGGTGGTTGAGAATTTCAGTGTGTAATGGAAGCCAATTTTGAATAGCATTTTACTTAACTTTCCTTAACCTACAAAGGTAAGGTTAATTTTTTCAAAATGGAATGTTTTTTTTTTTTTCTGGTAGGACTAGTAATTCCTTTTGTACAAGAAAGAGGAGAGTTAGGGGGTGCAGGAAGAAGTGTAGCATCCATAACATGTTAAGCAATATGGCACATTTAGTGCATCTGTTGAATGCTTGAGCAAGCTGTTTGGTAAGACTGCTGCTAACTTTTATCTGGGGCATTTGAAAGAATAGAACTTCAGTGTAAACTCCACTAATGTAAAACTTCATCAACAGTGCCTTTTCAAGTTACGGGAAATGTTGGAGTACTTCATATGTTACAATTCTCAAATTTAATCTTTTGAATTTCTTGTCTTATTTGGGAAATTCAATAAAATAATTGCTTTGGTTTTCTTTCCTGTTATCTTCACAAATGGTTTAGTTCAGGAAGCTGAAGCAATGGATGTACTTTACAAGGTAAGGGCCTTAGTAACAGAGTAATGAAAATGAAGAGTCAGTCACTGTCCTATCCCAGGAAAAAAAGCAGTCTAGTAATCTCCTTAGCTATGTTTTTCCTTGCTACTGTTCAGGTTTTTTTAAAAAAGTATATAGTAACTATGGTTACTGAGAAGGTCATATCCAGAAGTTAATTTTTTCATTAAAAATGGCTGGTTTCTCATCTCACTACATACGCAGCAAGTTAAAATTTAGCCGGAATTGTTCCATAGTGCTCCTAGTTGTTACACAAAAGTGATCCGGGTGGAGTATTTCGTAAATGCAGTATTAAAAAACGAAAACAAGAACAACAAACTTCGAGGATTTCGGTTTCATTTTCAGCATGTCTTTACTAGCTACAGTCTTTACAGCTTCCAGTAGGTAAATTCCACTTCAAAATAATTAGCAGAACTTCTTCACTTGTTAAATTTGCATGTCATACAAGTGTCTGTATTGTATGCAGCACAATTGATACTCTACATGTAACGTAGCCACAGTTTGCCTTACATGGTTTTTTGGCTTTCATTTGTATCTATTTTCTTTTGAAGCTTCTTTGTAAATCAAGAAATACTGTCTGCAGAGGAAAATAAAATGTGTTTAGATACTCATTCTTTTTTCTCTCTTCTGTTACAGAAATGAGCCGTCAGACTGCTACAGCACTACCTACAGGTACTTCAAAGTGTACGCCATCACAGAGGGTGCCTGCACTGACTGGCACTACAGCTTCCAATAATGACTTGGCTAGTCTCTTTGAGTGTCCTGTGTGTTTTGACTATGTGCTGCCACCAATTCTTCAGTGTCAGAGTGGCCATCTTGTTTGTAGCAACTGTCGCCCCAAACTTACGTGCTGTCCAACTTGCCGAGGCCCGTTGGGCTCCATTCGTAACCTGGCTATGGAGAAAGTTGCCAATTCTGTACTATTCCCATGTAAATATGCCTCTTCTGGATGTGAGATAACTTTGCCACACACAGAAAAAGCAGACCATGAGGAGTTGTGTGAGTTTAGGCCTTATTCCTGTCCATGTCCTGGTGCTTCATGTAAATGGCAAGGTTCTCTGGATGCTGTAATGCCACATCTGATGCATCAACATAAGTCAATTACAACACTTCAGGGAGAAGATATAGTGTTCCTTGCTACAGACATTAATCTTCCTGGTGCTGTTGACTGGGTTATGATGCAGTCTTGTTTTGGCTTTCATTTCATGTTAGTATTGGAGAAACAGGAAAAATATGATGGTCACCAGCAGTTCTTTGCAATTGTACAGCTGATAGGAACACGCAAGCAAGCAGAAAACTTTGCTTATCGACTTGAGTTAAATGGTCATAGGCGGCGATTGACTTGGGAAGCAACTCCTCGATCTATTCATGAGGGAATTGCAACAGCCATTATGAATAGTGACTGTCTAGTCTTTGACACCAGCATTGCACAGCTCTTTGCAGAAAATGGCAATTTAGGCATCAATGTAACTATATCCATGTGTTGAAATGGCAATCAAACCTCTTCAGGCCAGTGTTTAAAACCGTTGCATTTAATTTAGCAGAAACTAGGGTAACCATCTTTGACTGTCAGACAAATTGTTTGGTAGATGGAGGGTAGGCATATATGAAGGTAAATAAGAGGAAAGGCTGTTAAATTACAGGAAGCAGTTGCATGTAGTAACACTAATATATTTAAAATAAGTCAACAGTAAACCACTGAAAATATATATACACCCAAAACGGGCATCTTTTGTATTAAGAATTGATTCTACAGGAAATGTTGTAAAATAATTCTAAAAACTTGTTTGTAGATTGATTGTACTGTTGAAAAGGATACTGTTTCGTGTTTTTGTTTGTGTTTTTTTCCTCCCCCCTTTGACTGACAAGCCATGTTGAGCAGAATTGGTCTCTGGCCGCTGCTTCCCTCCCTGCCCCTGCCCCCCCTGCCCTGCGCGCCG